TGTTTTATAACAAATATATATTGTGAAAGTATATAAAAGTGAAAATACAAAAATTGACATAAACAAATGTAAAAAACTCATCATACAAATAAATTGAAAAAAAAACAAAAGCACAACGAAAACTGCACGAAAAAATTATGAAACACAAATTGATAAACGTCGAGTCATATGACAAATTTTAAACAATTGTAAAATAAAATAAAGATAAATAATACATTTTATTATGAAAAAACTTTTTCCAAACGAGGCATGTTGTCCGCTTGGAGTTTGTGTAGTAAAAAGTATGTAAAATGTGTGCGTACATGTTCAACGTACTGATCACCGTTGACGTTCACACTTAAATAATTACATTTTCAGAACACAAAGTAATATATAATTAAATAAATGTATTAAATAATTTGAATTTAATTAATACAAATGCATGCTTGCATTATAAGTTGTTTAAAATATTAATTGCATAGTAAATTTACAGTATAACATTTGTGACTAAAATTACTATATAAACTATTAATAATATATATATATATATATATATATATATATATTATAAAATATTGTCATTGAAGTGCTGCAGTAAAAACTGCACGATTTTCAGATTTTTGATAAAAAAGATGGTATTTCGATACCTAGTATTTTTCATTCAAGGAGCAAATATTAAACTAAAATTCGCGCAAAAAATTATGAAAAATAAAACATTTATTTTTCTCCAAGCTAATATTTAACCCATATTTCTTTTACCATGTGTTCCGATTTATCTGTAACACTAGAATGATTCCGCCATGCATATTAGTGAAGAATAATACAGAGACTCCTTTTACTTTGTGAGAGACGTTCGATCAGGCATCCGTCCACCCGTTATTTGGGCGCATTCAATTTTTCACATCGATAAAAAAGAAAAATATGTCCACGGAAATATAATAAAAATTCGGCGACCAGTAATCCAGTCCGATATGTTTTTCTTTATTGCTTTTTCTGTATTATCTCACAGCAATAAACTTTAGTGTGTCCGCGTTGATAGATATTTGAGTTCGGTATTATGTGCAAATGAAAATAAAATTTAATTCCTTTATTATAGAGCTGTAACTGACAAAATTTATGCTACTTAATCCGTTTCATATAGTAGAAAATTGTGCTATGAGATCATAATTTTATTGATGATTTATTGAAATTTTCAAAGTATATGCATACTTTCCATATTCAATTTTTAACTGCTTAAATTAAATATTATTAGTAAATACTTTCGAAGGAAAAGTTAATGTTTTTGTCCGATCATTCTTTTTCTTACTGTGTTTTCTCAGTGTTTTTCATAAAATATAATAGATATTGACACTAATTATTGTATTCGATTTTTTATTAAATAAATACTAACGGTTTTTACAACGTTTTTACCAATAATACTGAACAGATTTTGAAAACTATTAAAAATTTAGTAACAGAGAATTATGATGATTAGTTTATCTATAATTAATTGTTCGTGTTTTACGACGAATTTAATAAATCTTTGTACAGTTATAGAGTTTATAGTCTAAAAGAGCATCTTAAAATATTATTGGTCTACAAAAAATGGTTTAATTATAAAAAATAATACTTGAATAAAAATTTGAATACAATACATACTAAATAAAATACATTACAGAAATAACACTTGAATAGCATATATTTTGAAAATACCAAATAGGCCAAATAGAGTGAAGCGTATATAAATAATTAAGTTTAATTAATTATTAATGTAATATAGATACTATAATTTTGAAAAATCTCAATTATTTATATTTATATATTATATTTTTATTTATACGTATTGGCAACTTGCCTTTAGGCAAAATGCCATTTACATCTAGTTCATAATTTTTATACAAATTTTAATTAAATTAAATATTTTATTGTTCTATAGTTTATGGTCTTCTGAACGAACATTATAAAATATAATAAGCCTACAAAAATTAGTTTAATTAAAAAATTCAATAAAATTCAATTGGACATTAACATGTGCCGGTATTTGTGCCACTCCATGTTCAACATCTGATCATCGTTGACGTTCACACTTAAATAATAACATTTTTAGAACACAAAGTAAATAGAATTCAATAAATAATGAATTTAATTAATACAAATGCATGCATTATAAGTTGTTTAAAATATTAATTGCAAAGTAAATTTTACAGTATAATTACTATAGAAAATTATTTATATCATCAACTAAGTTACTAGTGACTAAAATTACTATATAAACTATTAACAATATCCTAAAGTACTTAATTCTTTGATACATAAAGTTCAAAAGAAATTTACTATAATTTACAACCCGTCACTTTGTATCATAGTACATAATTTTAATCGTAAATTTTATACTACATGGGCAGGTTTTACGTCGAAATTGAAAATAGTTAAGTATGCACATAATTAATCAGACCTAGGACCGTTTGTTAGTTTCAACGATCTACAATGAATGTTCGAAAAGTTTTTGATTTATTACTCTCGGCTTCCTAATTCAATTCATATTTCGCGGCTTGCCTGGATTCGAAGTAACCGCCAATCTATAATTATAAAACTTTTAGTTGCTCGTTATCAAGGATACGGAGTATGATACATAATACATACATATATATATATATATATATATATATATATATATATATATATATATATATATATATATAGCATAATATAATATACATAGATAAATAAGCATATATATATAAATGCTAAATCACTTTTTGTAACACTACGATCTCAAACGCACTAACTTCAGTCCGGATACGTATGTCTGTGCTCTTTTTTATACGGTACGTATGTCGATGCTCTTTCTTTATCTATGAGTTATGCTTTGCGTTCAACCCATGTTTCACCAATGATTAATCATTATATGCAAGTATGAAAAATTTTAAATCGCGAATTCTATAAATATTGAAATTCTATTGTATATATATTGCATTATATTATTGTATTATACTAAATAATATAAATACATTTTTACAATTATAAAGTTAAAATCATAAACTGTTTTATGCTCAATATTTTATCCCTATTTTTTTTTCTTACGTTGGTAGTAGACGTAGCCATCTTGTACGTTTGTTGTGGCTTGGAGCTCATTCCACTTTGTTCCTTCAACACATAAACACCGGCCACACATCAGTTCACATTTTTCCAAATTTTCCGTTAGTTAAAGTAAATAAACCATCATTTAGTGTAATATAATAGTTCTGTGTTTTCATCTTTATCAAGGTATGTAATTTTAATAAGTTTTATACGATAAATTAATATATATATATATATAATAGATGTAACAGTGGCGTAACTAGACCCTCCGGGCCCGTGTCAAAGTTTCCGATGGGCCCTGTCTTGGTACTCAATTTTAAATTTATGTAATTTTGTTTAATGAACGTTAATACTACTGGTTTAAACAATTTTTAATGAATTTTATCACAATTAGCAAACAAACTTCGACTAATTTATATTTTATGGCTTTAAATATGATATTATACAAAAGGTAAAAAAGTAAAGCATTGATTTAGAGTTATAATTATAATTTAGTTGCAATTATATAAAAATAACAAAAAATACATAAAACGTTATTTTTCTTGAAAATCAATCATGAAATTGTTTGTGAATATTTTCAACGTTAGAATAAATGGAAATTAAAATAAAACGTTTTCTTTTTTAATAAAAATTAAAAAAAACACTTTCTTAAATTTAATTATTACATAACCTTTCATTAACAATTTCTTTTTTACTGTAATTAATTTTATTGATTAAGTAGTGACGTTCAATCTTTATGAAAATGTATGATTTAAGCAATACCTCTGATTGAAAACAGTATTGAAAAGTATTCATTTTCTCGGCAATCCAATCCATTTCAATACCTTTTGTACGATTTTTTTTAACGAATATGAAGACATTTGTCATCTAGCTTCTTCTTGAAGAAACAATAGTTAACCCTGCACATATTCAAAATGAAATAAAATGTTCAATAAGCTATTTAGTAAATAATATCTTTTCTTACTGCTTTCAGTTGCGTAAAAGTTGATCGAAAACTAAATTTCCATGGCAAATAGTTCAGAATCTGAACAAAAGTTTTTTATAGTACTGATCTATTAAATTATGATTTTAAAAATTTTGTTTATTCTGAATTTCTGATATGTCTTTTTTATCTAAACAAATTTTAGAGTTTTTAATTAATAGATCAGTATAGTTGAAAACTTCTATTGTAGCAAAATACTGATATTTGGAACATATTATTTCATCGGAAGAAAAAAGATTTAATTTGTTTAATAATAATGTCCAATACTCGATAAAATTGTATAGCGCTTTAGCTATACAAGCTGCGTCGATAGTAGTAGAAAAATGAATGACTTCATTGTATATTCATACAACTCATGCACGTAGCCGTTAAATGATTAAAATCAAATGACATCTAACTATAACAACAATGTATTCTTTGAATTCTGATATTGAGAAAAGAGTTGTTCACGTGTTTGTTTTTATCTTTCAAAGTCAATAAATATATATGATTATATACAACAATAAATTCATTAATTTGTTCTTGATATCATATTATATAAACTAAAGATTTTCCAATGCAGATCTATCACAGCTCTTTATCGCATAAAAGATATAAAACACAATACTTTCGCTGTGCGGCGGCGACTCCTTTGGTTTTAACTAACTAAATATTCGGCCGAATGTAAGTTCGATGCAAGCCTGGTTGAATAATTAACTCCAACTTTGAACTTAAAAAATATAAGTTTCAAGTGAATAAAAAATTTATGTACAATGTAAAAATGTATTTCTGAGTCCGCGGTTTCCTGGGCCTGGGCCCGCTTAGGTCGGGGGCTCGTGGCATTTTGCCACCCACGCCATCCTATAGTTACGCCACTGAGATGTAATATAACCCAATTTTTATATTTTCATTTAATTCTGTAATGCTTGCTATATATTTTTCGATACTTTAACAAATTGCTTTTTGCAGCAAGTTACTGTTACCTCTACGATCAAGAAAAATGCATTCATTTTTACGAAGAAATTCTACTGCCAAACAAGATGGCGTCACATCGTCATCGCCTACGATAAAAAATTCAGCGTTAAGAAAGGATGTATCCACTATTGCTGAACCATTAGAATCAACGAATTCTGGTTATTTAAAGAAATCTTCTGGAACAAATATGTTTCCCCACGGCTCCACTGGGCGAGTTTTTATGAAGTCGCCTCCGATTAACATGGCCTGCTTAGCCCTGAGAAAGTCTAAGGAAGTAAAAAAATTAGACCGCATACTTG